TCCCCGGACTCCTGTGCTCCCTAACTCACCATGCGTGTGGGCATCCCACCTGGGAGACTTTACCCTGCAAAGTCCGAGTCTCCCGGAAGAGCCTGTCCCGTCCCTACACTCCTCCTGGCACAGTGCTCCTGGGCCACACCCCACACCCCACACTGTGGGAACTCTCTCCGCCAATGCCTTCACTGCTTCTCTCCCTGGCACCATTTAGTACTTGCTGCTTCTTGGCCCAGGGTGTTCCTCTCACTGTCCAGTGTGCCCAGGGCTCATCCCCCAAAGCCGTGAGCTCTCTGGGGGCAGGAGGGCAGCCCTGCAGCGCTGAGCACATGCAAACACTGAAAAGGAATTATAAATGGAAAAAGTCAGCCCCCACAGCCTCCAGCAGTGCTCCTGGGCCCCTCAGCCTCACGCCCCTCACGCCCCTTCACAGGCCCCTCCTGGGAGGCTGCTGGGAGTTGCTTGAGGGCAGGCGCTGTGTCTCAATTCCTGAGTCCCTCCCCAAAGCTGGCACAAAAAGGCTCCCTGATATTCCTAGGATGAATGAATGATCAGAAGCGGCTCATTTAACCTGTCTTACCTGTGCGTGACGGGGACCAGCCACACCCATCAGGGCAGCTCACGTCCACCCACCTAGAGCAGAGAGTGATGCACTGACCCGCCCTCAAGGCCACCACCCCCTGGAACACCACGTGCCCGGCCCAGAGCTCTCCTCCCCACTGTTCCAAGCACAGTGCACCGTCCAAGAGGAAGACAGGCCTCTTGGACCTTGCTAGAACCCAGAGTCTCCACATGCTCGATTCACATTTCAGCCGTGCTTAGAAAGCTGCACTCCATGTTCACAGGGTCCTCACAGCCTTCATTCATTCATTCATCCATTCATTCATTCATTCAGGCAGGCAGGCAGGCAGCATTTATAGTGAGTGGCAGAGGGTAGTGGCCACGAGCACATTTGCTAGAGGCGGACTGCCTGGGTCCTAATCCGAGCCCTGCCCTTTACCAGCTGGGAGACTCCCCATACGGTGTTTAACCTCCCCGTGCCTCCGTTTCTTCATCTGCAGAACAGGGATTGTAATAATGCGTACCTCAGCCGGTGGGTGTGGGACTAAATGAGTTAACGCGATAAAGCACCTGGAGCCGTGCATGGACTGTAGCACTATCCACGGGCTTGCTGTTACTATTCTGAAGGCCTGGGGCCCCAGCTGGGTCACGGACTTAATTCATACCCTCTTCAGGCCCAGATGCACCTTCGGGGAAGGTGCTGTGCCCACCTCCCGTGCTCCACCGCCTCCCAGGCCCAGATGCACCTTCGGGGAAGGTGCTGTGCCCACCTCCCGTGCTCCACCGCCTCCTGTGCTCCACCGCCTCCCGTGCTCCACCGCGTCAGTCATCCTGCAGCCTTCACTTGCTGCGTGCATTTAGTCGGCAGGGGACTCATCCACCCAGGGAGGCGGCCGTCCCCAGCCTCCAGAGACCCCACACGGCCACTGGGCAGCCTCCTGTTCTGATTCTCCATGGGCCACCGCAGAAGGTCCTGGTGGGGAATCTCACGCACTTGTCACAGCCCCTGAAGAGGACCCGAGATGCTAGCACACAGTGGGATCCAGTGGCCCGGACCCAGACGGTCACTAGTGGCCACCTGCCACTGACGGGCTTTGAGACCTGGAAGCATGTCCCTGCCCCTCTTGGGATCTCATTTTCTTCTTTGTGTCACGAGGGCTTGGATTCGTGATTGGTCAGTCGGGCTCTGTCCCTAGGCGTGACCCTCTGGATGTGGCCATGTGAAGACCTCTGGGACTCCACCACAATTAGCACTGCGGCCTCAGAAATTATGTCAGCCCGTCCTGGGGGCATCTGTCATTAACAATTATGAAGTCATTATCTGGTAAATAATTCATAACCCCAGAGATGGGATAAGCTGCCAATAAACAATAATCCATTTAGAATGAGGCGTGGTGCGGGCGAGGGCGGCCGCGGCGCTGCAGCTGCCTGCGAAGGGCAGCTCCCTCTCTACCTCTGGGGTCCGTGGGGTGTCCCTGAGGGCCCCCACACCTCCCCTCGGAGCCCTCCCCACCACCCCTGAGCAAAGGCATCGCCTGCCCCTCCCCCAGTGCAGGTGGGATTTCAGTGCTGACCAAGCGCCAGGGCCGTGCTGAGCAATTTGCAAGCATTTCCTTCTTCTAGAACCCTGCCAGCAACCTTGGGGATGTAGGTACTGCTGTCATCCCCACTACAGGGCGGTAAACTGAGGTCTAGAGAGGCTAAACAACTTACCAAAAGTCACTGAACCCAATAGCCTAGGGCCGGAGTTCAGGTGTGTGACATGAGAGCTCTCATTCTCAGCCAGGGTGTCCCACAGCCTCCTGCTACGAGCTGGAACCTCTTGACACTTGTCTGGCCTTTGTCTCTGTGTGACCTGTGCCGCTCCAGCAGCACCGTGAGTGCTGGGGCCTGCTCACCGGGGCAGGTCCCAGGAGGCGCTTCCAGTGCCGCAGAGCAGAGGCCGCCTGGCGGCCAGCGCACGGTGCAGTTAGGCTCGATAGTGGGGTTCGGAGGCCAAACCAAGGGCCCTGAGGAGGGAGCGGGAGGAGATGTCTTCAGGACACTCTGCCTGAGTTTCCATCTTCTAATAGGCCTATTGCACGTCCCATCAGGGGAGATGGTGCAGCCTGCTGGCCATGGCCCTTGGAGAACTCCATCCTGGGGAAGGGGCTCTGCTCAGAGGCCGTGAACCCGGCTGCGTGGGCTGGTCACCAGGGCTGGGTTAGCTCTGCCTAGAATGCCTCCTCTCCTGCCCTACTAGCACGGCCAGCAGCCCACCCTGTATCTGCAGGACCATTTCAAAGACCTGCCCTGAGGCCCACAGGCGGGGAGGGACCCCCAAGAGTGTCCTTCTCCCACTGTGCTATTCTTTTGTCTTCTGGGTAGGGGCGCCACAAACATTGTCGGACCCACACTGCAGCCAGCCTTGCAAGGCCTGGAAGTCTCAGTGGTGCTTCTCAGGCAGCCAGAGCCGCCTGAGTTGGGAGCTTCAAGGAACAGGGTGGAGTTGCTAGATGTCGGTCCCTGTAACACATCTGGAATGTTGCACAAACCTCTGCGGCCGGGCCCCATGGCAGAAGAAGCCACAGCGGCCCCTGTGTGTGCTCATTTCTCAATAACTGCGGTAACCAGCCCGAGCAGAGGCCCCTTTTAGCCTTTTGACCTCTCCTCCTGCGGCCAGCACCGTGGCCAAGACTCACTGACTGACACCGTGGCTGGAGAATGGATCGCTCGCTGCTTTCTAGAACAGCTTGAAACATCTAGAACCCTCCCGTCTCCCCTGAACGGAATTGTCTCATGGGAGGCGCTGGGCCTGTCTTTTGTGTCAGGCTTCCACAGTGAGCTCCTTGGCTTCCAGGATTGGGGAAAGATTCCACCCCTGGGCATCTTCCCTTCCTCCTTTGCCGACAGTCCCCGCCTACTGCTCAGCATGGGACTGAGCGGTGTGGACCAAAAGGACAGAGGAGGGGGACCAGGCCAGCTGCTGTCCTGGGCCAGGTGACACTCTGGCGGCCATCCCTGGCCTCCCCCAGTCCCGTCTCAGATGCTGGGAAGGGAGCAAGCCTCTCCTGTGGGGCCTCGGAGGGCTCTCGGCAGACCTGGCTGCAATTCCCCCTTGTGGGATTACCAGAACGAGGTCACTGACCGGCCTGTGGCTGGGAGCGGGAGGCTCCAGCCCTCTTTCTGGGAGGCCTGACTGGGGTGGAGCTGTGCCCAGGTCCCAGCCAGAGAAAAGCAGGGAGCTTTCTATTCTGTTTGTTTTCACCTCCCTGATTACAGAAAGGATTGCAGGGAATCTAAAAGGATACATTAAGACACCATAAATCAAAAGTAGGAGAGAGAATAACAAGTGTAGAAGCAGGGAATGTCACCTACATGAAACCACACCTAGAAAGTCACATGCATGGGCTACAGGTGGGCCACAAATTTGCCTCCAGGCTTAGCAGTGCTTCTGGCCTTAGCCGCCCATTGGAATCTCCTGGAGAGTCTGGTGGCTTAATGTGAAACCATCTACCTCTTGCTTGCCCCAAAGAATAGAGGGCCACATCCTTATGCTGAGTGTCTTGCTGCCTGAGGCTGGCACTTCTTCCTCTCTGGCTCGGCCAGTCCCGGGGAGGTTGGGGAGCTCTCATTTCCAGGGTGGCTACTGTAGCCCACCAGGACAGACTCTGCAAGCCCTAGTTGTGGATAGATTAACAGAAATCTTAACACAATAATACTTGTTAAGTATTATTTTAGAAGTATTACTTTAGAAGAGGGGGGTAGTTTTAGCCCCAGCAGTGAAAGCATGAGAGAAGCCAGCTTGTGTGACAAGGCAGAGAGCGTGGCATTTCCATGGGCTCTAACTATCTCTGACAGCCCCAAGAAAAGATGGTCTATGACACGTGTGCTCACATGTGACGTGTGCTGTTCTCAGAGGGGGGTGCCAAGTGAGGTGCTCTGGAGGGGTGGCCTGGCTCAGAGCTGGGGTGGGCCTGCGGGGCTGGCCTGCCCTCCTCCTCCTCTGCAGTCGGCCCTGGGGATGGATCATCCCTGACACCAAAGCCTCTTCCCAAAGCTCTCCAGGGAGAGAAATTCCATCAGCTTCTAGAGGCCCCATTCTGGTGGCTCCTGAAGACTTTTCTTCTATCTGACCTACATCTCCCTTGCTGCAATTTAAGCCCATTTTCCCTTGTTTTGTTTCGAGTGGAAATGGAGAACAGCTCGTCCCCAGCTGCCTCTGAAAGCAGAGGGAGTCAGAAGTCCCTGCGTACCTCCTGCCGTGCCGAAGCACTCTCACAAACCTGCCCTGTTGAATCCATCCTCGTGAAACCCCCTCCGCCCCAAGAGAACAGCTTCACATCCGTGCATGGGACGAGGCTCCATGCTGGGGGAGGGGGGCTGGGGAGGTGGCAGGGCCCCTCCTGTGGGCACACGCCGAGGTGGCCCCTGCAGGGTGGGGAGATGGGCATGTGGACGGATCCGCCCTCACAGCGAGGAGTGCAGCCTGGGGTCTGACCGGGGAGCTGGGGGGCTTTCCGAAGGGGAGTTGGAGTTGGCCTGGGAAGAGGGGAGGGCCTTTCTGGTGACGTCTGTCCACTCTAGGTCCCAGGTTTGGGCTGGAAGAAAGCCCTCTTTGTTATGCTCTGCCCTGATCCACTGCTTAACTAGGTTTTTCCCACCTGCCTGCCCAAGCTCGTGGGGGACCAGGAGTTCATTCACTGACATAGTGAGCGTGGACTGGGGCCACCCGCCGTGGGAGGGGGAGTGTATATGCAGGCACATGCATTCTCTGGAGGATTCTGTTGCCTTCTTGATCTCCTGGACCCCTAGGCTTCTGCCTTTTTACTTCTGGGAACAAATAACCCGCACTTCTTTCTGCTGAAGATGAGCTATTTTGTAGGCCATTGAAGCCAGTTCCTGAAAGGGTTGAGTTGGTGGTTAAAAAAAAAAAATCTGATTGGAAAGCAGTAGATGACAGCAGCTAAGTTACTGAGCCTAAAAAGCAATGACGCTGAGAGGCCCTGACAGCACTTGGACAGCAGACAGCAAAGGCAAGAGAAGAATTTCTATTTTTCCTCGGCCAGTGGAATTAAAACTTTCCTATTCTGTAGGATAAACAGAGGGAAACCGAATCCCTTTTTCCTAAGTACTTATCTAACTGTAATACTGAGATGTGAGCCAGGTCATGTGGCTTTTGTTTTTCCATTGCTTAGTCAAAAGCCCCCTTCAAACTACTTGGCTCCAATACAATGGACCAAAAAAAAAAAAAAAACAGAGAGAGAGAGAGAAAGAAAGAAAGAAACCACCTGCATTGATTGGATTTAAATAATGGAATTGCCATTAATATCTTCCATAAAAGATGATTGATTCTGACTTGGATTTATGGAAAGTTGGGGCTCGTAAAAGTAAACAGAGTGGCAGCCGTTCAATATTAGTGCTGGTTCCTGCACCTCCCTCCTCGGGCTGGTGAATGGATGGGCTCCCAGCCTAAGGCCCCCATGCCAGCAGCTAGGTCACGGGGTCCTCTGGAGGGTGGGGGCAGCCCTGTGCCAAATCCATCACCAGCCGTCCTGGTCCAGCAGGACTTCCCTCCTTCGCTTCAGATTCTAGTGTGAAGCCCACGGCTCCGGCCTCTGGGGACACCAGCAGCTTCCAGCTCTGCTCTGGGGAAGTCCAATGCCCCTCCTAGGCAGAGGACCCTCAATGGCCCAGGGAGTCCCTCCGTGGGTGAGCTCCAAGCCCTGCTAGGTGGGTGGGTGTGTGAGCGACGCCTGCCTCTGAGCTCTTCTCTCCTTACACCTGAGAGCTCAGATGGACCAGCCTTCGGTGCAAGTGCAGGCACCTTTAGTGTGGCCTGGGGGTTCAAGAGGAGTTTCTCCAGTGATTCTTTCCTCCTGCTTGGGAAGGGGCAGAGGGGATGGCCTAGGCCTGCAAAGTGGTGGCAGGGCCCCGAGTGGCCTCAGGAGACAGAGGAGGCCAGGGGTTGTCACCTGAGTCCCAGTGCTGTTAGCACCCACCCATGCAGGGCTCCCACCTGTCTGGGCCACCGCTCAGCCCCTGCTCTCCTGGCTCCTAGGAGCTGCCACATTCATTCCGGCCTCCAGCCCCCAGGTGCTACTGATCTCCTGTTCCAGCTGTGCACCAGCGATGTCCAGGCCCATCCCCTGGACTCTGTCCAACACGTCCTCCAGCCCCTCCACCAGACGCCCCTTAGGAGCCCTAAGACCTCACACAACCCCATCCTTCCTCAAACACACTCCTCTTCTCTGCCCCCACCTCTGGGAATGGCAGCGCCATTCACCCAGTCCCCGAGTCAGAAGCAGGGAAGCACCTCTCCACCCCATACTACAGGTTCTCCTGTCTGTCTCCATAGTAACCCTGTCCCCCATCCTTCCCAACCGTCCCCACTGCTCCTGGCTTCCATCAGCAGATCCCCACCCATTCTGACTGGATAGCCGCCACGGCCTCCCTGCCTCCACCTTTCCCCCTTCCAGTTCATTCTGCACTGGCCCCGGAGGGATCTCTAGGATGCAGATCACACTGCCAGTCTCCCCCAGTCCCTGTGGGCCAAAGTCCAGATGCCTGTGTCCCCCTCTGCTGAAAGCACACCACCCATGACCAGTGCTGTGTCCTCCTCCTAGATGGCCATTCTCGGCCCTCCCTGGGCTTGTCCTCCTCCCTGAGCTCCCTTGCCATGCTGCCCACACCTCTAGTGCAGGAGAGGAAGTGGACCTTTGAGGCCCTTCTGTGCAGGACATGTTTGGGGCTGCCAGCCTTGTGCACCCCACCTTCTGAAAACTGTCTGCACCCACCCACAACCCCTGCTGTGTGACCCAGCAGCCTCAGCTTCCTGGACTAGGGGTGGGTGCCTGACTTCAAGGCTGCCATCCTGTTGGCCAGCAACGCAGGACTGATCGGTCTGACTTTGAGAAATGAGCTGGAGCATTGGCTCTCTCTCCTTTGGAATGGGAGCTAAGAGAACCAGAGAGTTCCATTTGGGGCTGGGCCCTTTAGGCAGATGGTAATGCAAATGCAAGACAAGAGCAGTTATTCTGGGGCTGTGTGCATAACAAGGTGGAGTCTCAAAGGCTGATTGGGAAGGAAGGAAAAAGGGAGGTGATGTCCCAACAGAAGGGGTTTGTGGAGTGAGAGAGACAGAGCTCATTGCAGCTGGTCCCTGACGCTCTTTCTTGTCTCTGCCTGTCTGCTGGGTTCCTTGGAGGCCTTGCCGTGGCTTTACAGTATTCCTCCCCTTAGCGTGAGCTGGTGTGGATGGGTGCTCTTTAGTGAAACCAAAAGACCCTAGCTAAAATGACTTTGGAGCACCTTGCACTAATCCTGCCAAGCAGCAATTTTTATTCCCATTTTTATACGTGTCAACTGAAGTTCAAAAATACGCAGTAACATGCTCAATCAAGGTCACAGGGCAAGGAAGTGATAGAGCCAAGACGCAGACCAACAGTTGTTCTCATGTGGAGCCAGCGCTCCTGTTTCGCCACGTGCCACCTCCTCTGTTGCCTCCCCTCATCGTCCACTCGGGACCCGGGACCCCTCGAAGGCAGGCTGCGCCCCATTTGGCTCAGAGCAGGCACCCAAAGGTCTAGTGGATGGACTTCATTTCCATGCAGCCTGCAGGAAAAAGCTCTGGCTTCTGAGCCCAGAAGCCGGAATTCAAGTCCTGCCTCTCCGTGGCAGTTGTGCCAACTTGGGCGAGTCACTTTCTCTCCCTCATCTGCAACCGAGGAAACAGTCCAGGTGTAGTGGGCAGTTGGACGAGATGACATCCAGGCTTCTCTGCTGCTCTGCAGTCTCACAGCCCTGGTGTCTCTGTCCTGCCTCCCTCCCAGAGTGACATCAGGCAGAGCACTCCTCGAGCTGGGCCCACCGAGGGCTCGCCCCAACCTGTTCTTGCAAATAGCGTTGCCCTTTCCTGGTAGCGCAGCTCCCGGGAGGCCTCGGAGCTTCTGCTCTGCTTGCTGTTTGAGAGGGATTTGTGCCGTGGCCGAGTGGGCCGCAATTCTCACATGCCCCCGATAGCAGCTTTATCTAATGAGGATGAGATGCTTACACATATTTTCATTTTAAAAAAATCGGCTATTAATTTGTCAGAATTATTCATATTTTACTGATGATATTTTCCATGTATCTAATCAGGGAGCTCATGAATAGAAATGAAACTATTTAAATACAGAGATGGTGTACATTGTAAGATCTTGTTTTCTCAAGCTGTTTCATAATGCAGTGAATACATTTATTTCTTCTAAAAACAGGTTTTGCAACCATCAAAAAACATTTTTTTAAATCTTTGATTAAATATGACTCTATTGGAATATGCTAAATTGCTGTGAGCGGGCTGTGTGCGTGTGCGCACGTGTGTATCTGTCTGTGTGGTCACGTGAAGTATGTGCATTGTTTTCTGGCCTTCCCCATAGGGACAGGAGACTGTTTTTTTTTTTTAAGTGAGAAATCTGGAAAACACATTTTGGGTCAAATCTTTAGGATGGATAGATGGCAAAGTGAAAGTACAAATTGAAATTGGGCTGAACAATATTCGAGATAATTATTTGTACCATGTAGACTCTTAAACTGCTCAAAATTCCAGCAGCACTTACCTACATTGAAAGAGGTTTAGAATCATTAAACAAAGCCAGATATTAAATATACTACTGCTATCTCTAGAAACATTAGCAAGTAATGTAAAACACATGGCATCTACTCAATGGAAAATCTGAGAATACAAATTATAATAGTTGTCTTATAAGACCTCTGGGAAGCTTGCACTAAATTGCTTAATTCCATTAATAACAAACTATTACTCTAGCTATTAAAGTAACATAAGGTAATAGAGATCATGTCGAGAGATTGTACTGAGGCTCTTTCTTCACCTAGCACAAATTTATTCAGGGGCATTGATAGATTTTAATTGACTGTGGCAACTGAATAGCAACAAAGGAAATTGAATGTCTTTTGAAAAGCTCCACATTTTGTAGAAGCAAATAGCAACACCCAAGTGCGAGTCTGGGGGAGCTGGGACAGGCAGGGAAGGACGTGGAACATCTGCACCAGCAACTCCCTCGCAGACACGCTTTCCTGGGACCGTAAGGAAAAGCTTCTTGGGAGCCGGCACAGCGCAGGCCCGAGCATCGTTTTCAGCTCCGTGTCCAAACTGAAATGAAACCGATCCCGGCTGCTGCAAAAACACATGCTTTGTCATGAACATCCATCCGGCATGTTTCCAAGATACAGGACTGGAGGGACCTTCGTGCCAATCGCCGAGTCCTCTCCAGGAGTTCTGAGAACAGAGCTTGTTCCGGCCTAAAGTGACCCCTCATTGTGACACCTATCTAGTCCAGTGTGGCTTCTGGTGACCTGTCACCTACTTTTCTCTCTACTTCTTGATCCTTTCTGCTCGGATTGCCGTGGTTCTCCTGTCTTCTTCTACGCAGGTGCCACCAGGGGGTCTGTCCTGTGTCTCACAGTGCCCTTGCTCTAGCTGGTTTCAATGACGTGGACATGGCAAGGGCTGATCTCCCACCTTCTCTGTTTGAAGGAAAACTCGTTTGTAAAGGGGACTGTACAAGACGTGAGGGGCTGCTGGAAGTGGTCCCTGCGGGCAGTCAGGGAGGCTGCAGGGAGGTGGAGGCAGCCCTCCAGTCACATCCGAGCCGTGCTTGCTGGTGAGATCATTGCCCCCACCTGGCCCTGGGGCACAGATCATGTTGTCACAGAAGTGTTGAGCTTGTGTCTTCTCTGCCTGGACTTTCCCCTTTGCTTCTGTGCATGCCTGAACAACATCTCGCTTAAACCTGTGCAATGCTCGTTCTCTTCTGCCCTTGGTGGCAGTGAGTGTCACATGTCCTTGGAACCAGGGACATTCTCTCTCCCACTCCCCATGGATCCTAGCTTCTCTCAGGATATCACAGAGGAGCTCTGGGGGCCAGCCTGCACCACACGCCACTGCCACTGTCCCCTCAGCTCCAGCAAGGGGGACGGCCCTTCTCCTCGGGGTTCTGGGTGTGACACCCAGGAGCTGGCCCTGCTCATGGCCGTGGGCGCCTACCTCGCTGGCGCTGGGAGAGTCTAGTCCCGCCACGACTGCAGCGCGCGCATGTGTTTGAAAACCTCCTTGGCAGGCAGGACCTCCTAATTTTTTCCACTTCTTGTGATTAGCGTTGCAGACTAATCCTAGCACCAGACTCAACACCAGCTGTTCTTCCCCCACTGCTTGTTTTTACTTAGGAACCAAATCCCGGAGCTGCTGCCGAATTGGCCGGCCCCGCTCCTCCCTCAACCCGGGCTGCAGGCAGTCACCTGTGGCGTGACCTCAGGTGAGTTGTCTTTCTACCTGGCTGCCTGTATCCCTCCCGATGCCTAGGCGGCACTGCCTGGTCTCAGAGGGCAAGCAAGGTGCACCCTCGATTCCAAAGAGGATTTCCGCTTGCCCACTAAGGCGCCTGGATAGCAGCAGTTCCCGGAGCCAGACTGATCTCAGAAAGTTGGTTTTGCATCCCTAGCCATCAGACAGCCCTGGATCCCACTTACAATTTTTGATGTAGTAAGATTTATTCAAAATATGATATGGAACATGTAGATGGGTTTTATCACAACAATAAAATGAACATACATGATCCATCCCACCTCTGAACTTAAATAAAACATCATCAGACTCTTGAAACTCCCTGTTTTCCTGCTCAGTTCTTCCCAAGTCCTCTTCAATTTGGAAAGAGGTCTGCAGGAAGCGCATGGCCTCGGCCCCTCTCTCCCCCTCCCCAGCTTGCCCTCACCTGGAGGACATGCACCAGCCGTCTGGGGGGACCCCCATTTGCAACAGCAGCACCACCTCTACCTTTCTGCAGGGGCTGGGCAGGATGCAAGTCCTCAGTGGTCCTGTAGGAGCAACCAGAGCTACCCTGGGAAGTCCAGACAGGGTGGCTAGACGCAGCTCTCTCTGCTTTGTAAATTTCCCCTTCTTCCCCTGACTTGAGAGGCAGTGCTGGGGGAAAGTTATTTACTGAATGCAGACAAGGAGGCTCAGGCTTCTGCATCCATCCATTTGCATTTCTATGAGAGTCTCTCCAATACCTGGAAGGCCCAAAAAGCAAATCAGGGAGTGTGGCATATGGGACATTTGCCCTCCAAACACTCCAGCGTCAAGAAGAATTGCGGTTGTCAGAAATATGATATTCCTGTCAAAAGCGCATGAAATCAGCTCTGTAAATTGGGAAACATAAGTCACAGTTATATTTGTTCTGCAACCATGTAAGAATCACGAGTTTCTCATAGGGCAGGAAAAAAAACCTATGAGCCTTTTAGAATGACTTAATGTCCACTCGCAGCCACCTTCACCCGGCAGTGCTGTTCTCCTGGTATGAAATTTCTGACTCCCTTCAGTCCTCGAATGTTTCTGCTGGGTTGGTTTCTTTCTTGGCAACTGCAACCACTTGAAAACAGGATGAAAGTAAGTCACTCTTTCTTCCTCCCTGGCAGTCTCTCTGTGGTTTTGCGGCTGCCCATTTGGTTCTCTCTCCCTCCCCTGTCCCTCCAAGACTCCTTCCCTCACTGCATCCAGAGAACCACAGCAGGGAGCTGATTTTCCAGGGTTTGCTGGAGTTGTGTAGTTGCTTGCTCGGCCCCTCAGGCAGTGCACGTGCCCACGAGCTCCCCATACCCTGAACCCCCAAAACATTTTACTCGCACAGGCCTGGGCAGTGGGGGTAAGGTAGAACAGTGCAGTCATGACTCAGCCAAGATGAACCGAGCCTCCTGCATGCCGAGCACAGAGGAGACAGAAATAGCCTGGAACTCACCACCACCCAGAGAGGCAGGGCCAGGACATAAGATCTGGGGGGATCAGGGAAGATTCATTAAGCCCCAGAGTGTCTTTCACTGGACTCTGAAGGAATGCAGCCTTGAGCTCTATGGAGAAGAGCGAAAATTCCAAGTGGGCCAGGAGAGAGGCCGACGTGTGCGTGTGGCGGGAAGGGCTCTGAGCGGGGAGCACCAGGTGTCAGGAGTGGGACCTCAGCACCGAAGTCGGGGGCAGCCAGCCACGTGGATGCCATACTGGATGGTAGCCTATATGCCATGAGCACTGAGAAAAGAGCATTTCGGGGGTCAAAGATCGGTCTAGGACTGCAGGAAGGGCTGACTCGGGATTCCCAGGAGTTTTCTTTCTTCATCTAAGGCGTACAGCATGATGTTTTGATACACATGGTGAAATGGTTATTATAGTCAAGCCAGTTAACATATCCCTCATCTCACACAGTTACCCTTTTGGAAAGAGCACCTCAACTCTGCTCTCTTAGAAAACTTCCAATAGCCAATCTAATATGATCTTACATATCTTATATCCTGGCAGTGAACAAGATCCTGTGAGCTCTCACACTCAAATATTGGGCAGGATAGGTTGGTTGGTTTGTTACGAATGAGAAAGTCATCATCTGAAAGGCAGGCAAGGATTTCCCTAAAAATCAGCAAGTCTGGGGTTTGGGTAGCAGCAAATCTGCTTTCTCTGAAAGCCCCGTGTAGACTCCCTCCGTTCCGCCATCTCTACCTTGGCCTAGACGGCGAGTGGGAGGTGGGCGGTGGGCTGCGGTTCCAAGCGGTGCCTGGCGTGCGGCTGGTGGCGACAAATCAGAGCACACGTCTTGCCAGGCAGGAGACTGCCACCTGGGCCCTCACCTGCCTGCCTGCCAAGCCGAGAGCTCCAGGCCTTTGGAGCAGAGGGCGCCCCTGTGCAGGGGCTCAGAAGGCTTGCAGGGCTGGGGCGCAGACGGCCAGGAAAACTTGGTCCAGCTGTGGACAACGTGCAGTTTTTTGATGCCTTCATTAGGAAACTGGAGAAGGCCGGGGACTTCCCGGAACAGCCCTGTCCGCAGCCCAGAGTTCCCTGTGATAATGCAGAGGTTCCGTGCTGGGCTGTCAAGTGTTATTGAGCACTCACAACGTCCCTTACTCATGTGACTGGGGAACCGAATATTTAATTCTGTTTAAGTTAAATTACTTTTAATTGAAATAGTCACATTGGCTAGTAGCTACCACATTAGGCAGTATAACCCTCGAGGACTCGAGGCAGAGCCTGGGTGAGGATCTGTGCCTCCCAAGGCTCTAGGAGACCTTTCATTTTGTCTCTTTTTTATTGCTGAAAGTGACAGAGCACACAGAGCTCTCGGAGAGAAATTATCCTGAAAATCAGACCGAATGGGCTGAACGCTTACAGAGGTCCCTGCGACCGAGCACATTTCCTGTAGTGGTTGTACGAATTGTATTAGGCATAGGAGGAATCTCACCAGCTTTTCCCTAAAGCCCTTTTCTCTCTTGCTGCATGAAGTTCCCTCCACTGCAGCTGCCAGAGGAAAGGTTTTGCAAGGTTTTATTATTTGGGGATTTTTTGGCATATTTGCCGAAGTCATGCCTGGGTACCCACTTTCCATTTGATTTCTGGCTGCTCAGGGTTTGAGGCAGCCCGGGGTGGTGGCTTCCTCCCAGGCCAGACAGCGGCACAGTTTGGGGCTGCCCCATCTCTCCCTTCCTTGGGGTGATTGGAATTGAGGCACCTGCTACCACCACTCTTAGGAAATGGTGGTGAACTCCGCATTGAACATGCCTGGCTTCCATGGGTGTAGGTCAGGACTGCCTGGATAGATATTTTCTTGCTCCAGAGCTCTCAGAGCCAAGCAGTGGCTGTGTTTTTGGTGGTTTGGTGAAGTGTCCTGGCTCTGGGTAACTACGGAGCAGTCACAGTCCCCGTCTGATTTAAGCAATGGCACTTCTCAGAGTTGGGCGAGGGTGCTGGGGAGAAACAGGCGACTGAGGCAAGTCAGCGGCCGGGAGAAGAGAGACAGATCTCCAGCCCCTGGAGTGCACAGAGGCAGCACTGCCTCCTCCCACTCCGAGGGTGTAAAACATGCCTTGGGAATCCAGAATCTCCCAGACCCCCAGGCAGTCGTCTCTTAGGAAATGAGGGAGGCGTGGAGGGGAACGGCGCAGCAATCTCGTCGTGTTTATGACACATCTTTCTCCACAGACTGCTTCGGATTCTTCAGCCTTAATCTTTGAGGCTCATTTTCTAGAAATAGAGTCCTTGTCCACTGCCTGAGATGGGTGGGAACAGATGAGTAGGAGGCGTTTGCTTTTTCTAGGATAGAAGGTTCATCGGTTTATTTAAGTGCATTTGCTTTGGTTTTAGCATTGTGAGAGTAATTAATTTATATGGGACTTTCCATAGACCCATAAATATGTATTGGTGCCAACTGTGCAGCGGGCCCTGTGCCGTCCAGGCAAGATGACGACGGATGAGAATGTCTGTGCTCTAATGGAAAGATTCTTCCCAGCTCCTTCTGGCATGGTGGTGGGGGTGTGTGAGAGGAGGTTCACACAGTGGCATAGCAAGGAAGGACACTGGGCGGCGTGTTCGTGTCAAACCCTGGTACGCAGAAGGCAGGGAGTCTAGGAGGACTTCCTGGAAGAGGGAGAAACTTGACTGGGGTTTGAGATGAGTAGCAGACTTCAGATGTCTGGAAGGAGAACAGAGGGCTCTTCAATAGTCAGGACAAAGATTCTGAGAAACAATAAATGGGTAACTGATGGGAAACCATGGAGAAAGTTTCATTATTATCATTTCCACTCATTTTGCTTTATACTTGCTTTGGTTAAAGCTTATGAATTTGCACCCCACCTTGTATTATTTTATTAGATCCCAGTTTTGAGGTTCTAGCAGTCAGGACCAATGTTAGGAAAACTCTGCCCTTGGTACTTAGGGACACCCCTGATTGTCACCCATCTTCCCCAGCAGAAAGGTGGAGAAACAGACTCACTTCTGATAGCAGCGGAGTGGTATTTATATGATGGGCAGCCGAATATGACTCTGAAGCCACTTTTAACATCGTTTCTCTGACTTAAAAAACTGAAGCTTTGGAAGTTGATTTCTAGGTTTATAAAAAACTGGACTATTTTGAGTTTGGAAACATAATTTACTATTTTCAAGAGTTTTAAAACTTGATTACTTTCCCTAACTCCACATCCACTTGAGATGATAAAAAAAAAAAAATCAGGATTCCAAATCATGCGCATGGAGTGAGTAGCTTTTTCGAGTTCGGTTCACGAGGTTGCACTCTGACATGCTTTTCAAGATTTGAATATTTTTATAAATCATGATTATGCTGCTGTTTAATGAGAACAAAAGTGGAAATAGCATCTGCTTGTCTGCATGGAGCATCTTCCCGGCCTGTGTGTGCTGTCTGGGAGAGTGGTGGCCCAGTCTGCAGAGCTGATGAGCGCTTGATTAGCTGAAATTGCTTCCTGCCGTCAGTTCTGGGATGAACTGGGTCATCTCAGGGATCTGGGACGCGAGAGCCACTCTGATACTCGGAGTCAAGTCAGAAATCCCCAGCTCTTCCCAGCATGGACACGGGGGCCAGCTTCCCTTCTGGTCCAGCCTGGGATCTCGGGGTCCACTCCTTGCTAGACTGTGAGCTTGTCCAGGGCGGGAGCAGGGGTTGGTACAGGTTGAACTGAACCTAATCGAGATGCACTGCAGCGACTGCTGGTTATGGGGAAAGAGGCAGAGTCCCTGAGGGTGGGAAATGAAGGCAGCTGCAAGGCAGCAGCGGAAATGGCCCTGTGGTGTGGCCATCCAGGGAAGGACTTTGGGGTCAAAAAACTTGATTCCATATCCTTCCGCCCGATCATCCGCGTTCAGGTTAATAGCCCACGTCAGCAAAAGAGTTTAAGTAATTTGGTGTTCCTTTTTGTTCTCTATGCTTTAGAACATTGTGGTAGTTTAGTTTTCTTGCAAACTAACAAAACTAAAAACGGTTTTGATTTTTAAACTGTGATGACTTTTTATCTGGAAAACTCATTGATCCAGAATTCCTTAGCACCGACAGCCCGTAGGTCCTCTCAAAATAATGGCTTTAATGTAACTTGTGTGTGACGAAATGCCTAGATCTTCGGAATACGGTTTTGCACTGACAAGTGGAGACGTGTGTGTAACCCACATTCCTATCCAGCGAAAGGACACTTCCATCCCGCCAGAGAGCTCCTGTGCCCTTTCCCCGTCTACTTCCCCGACCCCGACTCCAGAAACAGCCACTGGATGGTTTGTTTTTAACACGCATTTTAATTCGGTGAGCTCTTTTAAAACATCGCCTGCATTTTGAAACTAAAAAAGACTCCTTCCTCCGAGAAAGTTCCGCTGCTGGCTCCCGGGCACCCTGGGTGCCGCCGTCGTTGCGGCCAGGCCAGGTGGACGTTCTTCACAGGTGGCGGTGCCCCCGGGCTCAGACTGGGGGCTGTCTGAGGTCTAGTCGGCTACACGACTCTACACCTGGAATTTCAGACGTTTGCAGTACCCCAAGAACAATGGATGGCAAGAAAATTCATTCTGTGCTTTTTCCAGGATTGCGTGCATGCGCTTGTGCCTGCTGAGCGGGGGGACTCCAGATTAGAGGGAGAGGC